TACACATACACCACACACATACATACATACTTTCACGTGCATACACACATACATACACTCATATACTTGTGTGTGTGTGGTGTGTGTGTGTGTGAATGTTTGTTTTTGAAACAGGTGTTCTTTGGACAGCTGGCCACTGGAAGTCGTCAAGCGGCCAAGTGTGGCGATACAAGAACAACCTGAAAGACAACCTGGGGAAATGTGGACTCAACCCAGACTCCTTCTGTCATGATGCTCTTCGGCGTTCGGAGTGGAGAAGGAAAGGCATGTCCCCGGCCGATGGTTTTGAAAGAACTTGAATCGCACGTGGGTCTGTCGGTTTTGTTCACTTGGGATGCCTGCCAAGAATTGGACTCTTTGCTCACTCGAAGACCAGCCGATGACGCAATCCGTCGTACCGACGGTGCAGTCCATGTTTGTACATGTGTGTATACATGTGTGTGTGTTTGTGTTTGTTTGTTTGTGAGTGCGTTTGTGTGTGAGTGCATGTGTGTGTATACGTGTCCCTGTGCATTCATATTTTATAAAACTTTTGTTCGCCTACTGATGCTTGCTGTGAAATATTTTCCTCCATAACAGTTTTCATGCATATTTATTTGGAGAAGCTTTTTTATTGTTGCTGCTGAAACATTAAAATGTTCTCAAAATTGCCGACATGTTCTGTTCAAAAGATCTTTATGACGTTGTTGTTGTTTTACCAATGTTGATGTTGTTGTTTGTATTGAGATGTTGGTGATGTTTTTTATCTGTCCATGTCAAATGGTATATGTTATTATTATTATTATTGTTGTTGTTGTTGTTGTTGCTGCTGCTGTTGTTGTTGTTGTTGTTGTTGCTACTGTTGATGTTTCCTCTTATTTCGTTTATGTTGTTGTTTATGTCTACGGTGAATTTGCTAAAAACTAATAATATAGTTGATTGCCAGATTTTGATTTTTTTAAAGAATAATAAACAAAAATTTAATGAGTTTATCACACTTATAATTATCATTAGAATTTTCATCAGTGGCGCCGCAGAAATTTGATGCGTGGTTGCTTAAAGTTGTTTGAAAAAACGTAGCGGCCATTTTGGCTTGTCGATCAACTTAAGACAAATTTCGCCATTAAAATCAAGTTTTCCGATTTTCGAATTAGTTTCTTATTTTTATGATCAAAATAGAGTGTCATAATGAAGCTGATTGAAGTGAAGTAAGTTTGAAAAGAAACAACCTTGTAAATTCGATCAAGTACAATAGAATATGTATTCAAGAAAACGTACTGCCTAAATACACACACACACACACAACACACACACACTACACACACACACTACACACACAACACACACACTACACACTCACACACACACATATATATATATATATATAATATATATGTATCATTATATATAATATATATATATATATATCTTTATATATATATAATAGATATATTATATATATATATATATCTTTTTATTTGCTATTGTTAAACCCGCCGGAATGATCAAATTGAGCTATATTATTTGTTATCTTAATTATTGTTTACTTTGCTATATTTGTAATTTTGGATGATAAAGGATCTTAAAAAGAAGTCTATATAAGATTCTACGGAGACACAGATTCCAGGAATGTTCCAGTCAGAGAAAGCGAAGTCGTGAATATGATTTATAAAGTTACTTAGATTAGTTTATTGTTTCTATCACTGTTGGGATTAAAATAAACGTTTAAAAAAATTTGCGTTTGAAGCAATTTTCTTCATCTATCGAAAATCTTGAACCTACGGAATAACGAACAATTGACGCTCGTTGGAAGCTACAACACTGGTGTTGGAAATTTAGAGATCATTGAAGTTATAACATTGGTGTTGGTAGTAACTACACTATAAATATTGAGCTTGATGGATGGCGCTGTTGATGTAATTGTTGTAATTACTTATGATTTTATTGTTTTTTGCGCTAATGTTTTTTGTAAAATTGTTGTATTTGTTATTGTTGGAGGTCACCATCTTGTTTCTCTCCCACTTGTATATTTTTTCCTATTTTTGCGGCAAGTGTTTTCGTTGCTGGTTCAATCCTGCTCTCGTTGGAAATTTTGTCGTATCGTAAATCAAAAGTATCCAATAAATTTGCATGTATGTGTGTGCGTAGGTCTTTGTATGTGCGTGTGTATGCATGCTTCCTATCGAAGCTAATATACAAAAATATGTGAAACCATCGAAACTCTTTACAGAACCAAAAAGAAACTCAACACAATTGTGATGATGTATCTTTCTCACTCCTTAATTCATCCTCATCTTATAAATAGCAATATTTTACTGGATACTTTTCAGATAGACATCTTGAACTAATTACAAAATGGTAATGTATCTATCCACAAAGAATGGCACAATTGAGGAATTTTGAGTTTTAACTTTATCGGTTATAAATAATTTAAAATTCAGCACATTTTCACTATTCCTAGCCTAAAACAAACACATTTTTTTTGTTTATAATTCACGATCAATTTATTTCCTTCAAAACATTCTGAAATATCTTTTAGTCGTGAAATCACATTTGCTACTAGAGTGTTAACATCTCTATCTTTCTGCTTGACTGTCGTATCTTCGGTAAATTGAATCAATTTAAGAGCATGACATGTCATTCACAAACAGCAGCGGACCAAGAATAGATTCTTTTGGAACACCTTTTAAAACGGTCTATCTTTTGACTGACAACTTTCCAACTTCACATATCGACCCCTTCCCGACAAATAACTTTTGAACCAACCCAGCACCAGACTAATGATTATGTAACAAGCTATTTTATTCAACAAAACTGCACGTTCGATTGATTCAAATGTCAAAAAACCTAGCAGTCAACTATTTATTATCAATGTTTTTGCTAAAAAATTTGTTAAATCCCAAATGGCAAATTCGGTTGAAGAACTTTCTCTTAAACAGTTCTGGTTTGAAAAAACTCTAATATGTTTGTTGTGAAAAGTTTAACAGATAGATTAATAAATTTAAATAAACAATTTCTCCATGACTTTTGAAAATACAGATATAAGTAAAATTAGTCTTTACTTAATTATTTTAGCACTAGCTTCTTTTTTAAATATTGGGGTTGCCTTCGTTAGTTTGAAAACTGAAAACTGAAAGAAATTTGTCTGCTTGGGATGAAAGATCTATTAAAAAATCAAAAGAGAGCCGAGAGCGGCAAAACAGTTCTCCAGAATGGCGTTGGAAATGTTTTTATGACGTCTGTTGTGTTTTATTTAACTCTGAACAACATTGATGACTCACTTTCGTTGGTTTCCTGAAAATAAGACTAGTTGATCTTGAAGGAACTGGGAATCTGGCATAACCTGAATTTGTGATCTTACTGCTGGCCATCAAATTATTGATACATAGCGCTTTCAAAAAGCAAATTTCTCAAAGCTCTCATAATTGATAACTCCACACCACCTGGGCTGATGATTGCTGCTACTCTTGTATCACCATCTCTCTCTCTCTCTCTCTCTCTCTCTCTCTCTCTCTCTCTCTCTCTCTCTCTCTTTCTCTCTCTCTCTCTTTCTCTCTCTCTCTCTCTCTCTATCCTCAAGCCATGAACTAACCTGGCACAGCATTTTGACCTTTAACATCAATGCACAGTCGAAACAACATGGATGGCAAGCAGTCGTCGAAAGAAATTGACGTCAGCCACTTTTTTCTGGAACATTCTTCTGCATTACAAGGACGAGGTTGTGTGGATGTAGCCAGTTGCCGCATAAGTCTAAAAAGGCAAGAAAAAAATTTGTTCTCTGTAGGAATGATCCAACGTTTGAGGTCACCCAAATGATTAATGTTCTATTCAAATTGAACGAATTTTAAATTTTAAACAGACGCTTGACTCTGAAAACATTTCGTTCGTGCTCATTTGTATAAATAAGCAAAATACATGCAAATACATACCCATACAATCAAACACACATACAGACGGATATACGAACGTACATACAAACACATATGCACACGGACACACACACACTTGCACATACACACATACATACGTATGCTCAGACGTGTGTGATGTTTTATTTATACATACATATGAATTTAGATTGTTGTGTGTGCTGGTTCGTCTGACCAGGCATTATTAAGTTGATTGCATTTTAAGCCCACATGCACTCAATCAATCGTTTCGTCGTTCTTTGACATCAGTGGCTGGTGCTGAGGTGTTGTTTCGTTTTGCTGTGGTTGTTGTGGTTGTGGTTGGTTTGTTGAACGCTATTGTTTTTGTTGTTTTATTAAGCGGTTTTGCTTTTGGACTAGTTAATTGTTGGCTGCGTTTGCTGCTGTTGTGTTTGTAGCATAATTTTGTTTGTTGCTGTGTTTGTTGTTGTTGTGTTTGTGTTGTTTTTTGTATTGTTTGTTGTTTTGTATTATCAACTGTGTTTGATTTTTTGTTCTGCTTAAAGTTTAGTTGAGTCGTTTTTGGTGGGATTGTTGTTCTTGAGTTGTGATGCATTTGTAGTAATGTAATCAATCTGTTTGTATTGGTTTTGATCAATGTAATGGATTGTGCTGCGTTGTATTTGCATAATTTGATGTGATGGTCGGTGTGCGTGTGTGTGTGTGTGTGTGTGTGTGCTTAGTAATTTGACGCTTTTAATGTGATTACGTGTGGTCTGAAATGATGTGAGTTGATGTGAATTGATGTGATTCAATGCTGCTCATTATGTTTGAAATTTTTAACTTAATTACATTTTATTTGAGTGTATTAATAGATTGTCGTAAAACAACATGTGCCGCAATTTATCGAACCTACCTAGAGGACTACTGGGGGTTGTTTGCAGACAATGATGAAACTGTCGTACTAGTTAACTCTCAAAACTGAAATATTTTTGCTAAAACACCTCAAAAAAATATTGCACACCCAAATCTCACCCCAGTATACAAACTCACCACAACACATGCACACCAACGCTACAAACAAAACCCGACCAAAAAGAAATGGAAAGTTAATTGAAATATTTGTTGTTAGTTCGCACGTAGAGGCAATGAAAACATTGTCCAGCATGATTCCATTGAATTTCAGGCAGTCGATTCTAAAACTCGAATCCGCATTCACATTTGGCGCTTCACTAGGCAATTAAATAAATAAATGAACTTTCGCATTTATGTGTTTTGCTTATGTTTGTATTGCACACACACGCGCGCGCACAAACACACACACATATTTGTGCATACACACACACACACACACACACACACACACACACACACACACACACACACATATATATATATATATATATATATATATATATATATATATATATATACATACAAGCAAATTTAACTGAAAACGTGTAGTCCAAACATGTACATCTACATAAACTTTTTGTCTGTAGACTAAGCCAAGTACTTTCTAAAGTAGTTTTGCATCAAGGGGCTAACCACGTAGTTTTAAAATGAATTCATTTCAATAGTTTTAACGTTACACCGTGATACCGGCAGTATAAATTTTTTTAATTTTTGGCATGCCTAATTTTTATTTTCGGTTCAATGTGGATTGTATAATATAAAGTTGAAGAGAAGAAATCATCACCAGATAGATTACATAGTCGCAAGTCTTTCCAGGAGTCGTTTGATAGCAACGATGCAAAAGAAAGAAGGAAAATGGAACTGAAACGCTTTCTTCAGGGACCAATCATTGCTCCAAAAAATTAGTTTTTAAGTGGTGGGTCAATAGAGCATCCAATAACAGCTAGAGTGGCTTGAAAGTATCTGTCAATTCAAGCTACGCCTGTGCTTAACGACCAGATATTCTCCAAATGGAAGACGAAACCGACTCGAGCCCTAACATGTCTCATAACTGGCACTTCCACTTATCAAGAAGAAGCTATTTTGTGGCAAAGCTAAATTTAATTTGTTTTTAACATTTTAATTTTAAAATTGTGTCAATAGGATTCTATATAAATGCAAATTACTTGGTTGAATTCGATTTGAAAAGAAAAACTAAAAATAGAATTCGAATGTTTTACCTGAAAAAATTGAAATCGAATAGATTTTTTGACTTGGAACGATCACTTTTGCTTAGTTTGACAAGAAAGGTATATCAAAATTTTAGCTTTTGCGTCAATAATTTGACAGAGAAATGCATCTCCGTTAAAATCCTTTAAATTCGTCACTTCTCAATGGCGAAAATATTTTTTTGTGTCGTATAATTATGTTAAAATATGTTACCGATTTTTTTCAGTATTTTTCTTTCATGGTCTGGTAGAGAGAATGCAGTGGAGAATGTCAATTAAGTTTTGTTAACTTAACTTTAAAACATATTTAAATAGAAATACCAACTTATTGCATTCTAAATCTTTCTCAATAGCTTCCAGAAAAAATATTATTTGTGCAGTATTTGAAAACTACAGCAGCAGAAGAACCATTTGTTGAACGCATGTTGATGTGTTGGCTGCATTCAAGATGTTGCAACTTGCTACTGTCAAGTGTTTTGTGAGTAACTGACTGTCGCAGGCTGATCTGTTATTATTGTTATTATTATTATTAGTCGTAGTAGTAGTAGCAGCAGCAGCAGCAGCAGTAGTAGTAGTAGTAGTAGTAGTAGTAGTAGTAGTAGTAGTGGTGGTAGTAGTAGTAGTAGTAATTATAACCACATAAAAACAACATTTTTTGTGGAAACAAATGTTTAAATTCCCAATCAAATTTTTGTTGATGTTTAATAAAAAGATTGAGCTGAATAGTATAGCCCGCATTAAGAGGAATTTCGTATTACGTGCGCTTGGATCGGGATCAAACCGGATTAACATTAAATGTAACCGAGATCAGTTGTAAGCGGGATAAAATGGATGGGATTAATGGTACTTTGGATCAAGTATATTCCGGATCAAATGAGGTGGGATTAAGCGGGGTGGGATTAACTAACGATGATCGGTCCAAATAATAAAATACATTAACGCTATCTCATTTTCATTCATTTGTGAACAACTTTTAATACATACACAAAAGTAAAAACACATCCACGCATTCATCGAAACAAAATTAAATCGCAACTCGAGTCCTTCGCTGAAACATGACAAAATTTGTGCGTATCCAAGTCAGCCCGTCTGCTTTGTCTCTGTGTGTGTATATATATGTGTGTGTGTGTTTGTCTGTGTGTGTATATATGTGTGTGTTTGTCTGTGTGTGTATGTGTGTATTATTGTGTGTGTTTGTCTGTACATGTGTGCATGTGCAATTGAGTGCATATGATTGTAAGGGAGTGTATACGTTTTCAGTGGCGGATCCAGAATTTTGCGGTAGAGTGAGGATTTTAAAATTTCACTATTACTTTTACTTTATTTTTATATTTTAAAAAGAAACCTTTAACTTTTTTTCATTGTCTTATTCCCGCACCTCCCCCTCCATCCTGGGTACACTACTGCATTCGTCACTGAGCGTGTATGTGCATGGGTGTGGCTGTCCATCAGTTAGTCTGTACTCTCCTCTCTTTACTTTTCTTTCATTTTTAAACTTTCCACTGTTTAACGTTGAAGTAGTTTGTTAG